CCGGGTGATCCTAAAAAAAATCTGCTAGACGCTGCTTGTAAAGATCATGATATTGCTTATTCTCAAAATCGAGAGAATAATGACGCGAGAAATGAAGCTGACAAAATTCTAGCTTAACAGACTTGAGGTAGAGTGCGAGCGAAAAATAATACTTCTGGTTAGAAAGTTGTTACGTTTGCTGTAGCCAACATAATGAAAGTTAAAAGTAAACTTGGTATGGGTGTTAAAATTGTAAAACGTGAAAAAAAAACTAGGCAGGTGTTGTAAAATCTGCAACAATATTGACGAGGAAAGACATACGTACATAGTAAAAATGTATCAATTATATTGAAAAAAATTATTAACGCTGCATCGAGAAGTATTGTGTCTGGTAATAAATCACTCTTCGTCATTCGTTCGGCTATAAAAGACGCTAAAGAAGCTGTGAAGAAGCTAGCACAATAAAACTATGGAAGCTATTGCTTTTGGTCAAGGGCTTTATTTAAAACCACATCGTAAAGTCTACGGCCTTCATCTGAAACCATATTCAAGTGGAAAAGGTTTAAAAAAAAGCTCGAAGTATCTTTACTTAATCGAATACTGACAGATCACGATATAAAAAAATATGCTATAATACTAGAAATTGCAAATTTTCGTGGTATTTTCATGCGTAATGCTTTATCAGCCGATGGACCACGATATCAAGAGACAGTTATTGTAAATTTAGATGATGAAAATAGACCACGTACTCATTAGATAGCATATAAAAAGAAAGGTAATGAAATTATGTATTTTTATAGTTTTGATAATCTTTAATCGGCTACTATTGCTTTATCTCAAAATTGATAGAATCACGTATAATTATATTAGATATCAAGATCTTAATACGTAGAATTACGGTCATCTTTTTCTGAAATTTCTTTTGAATAAACTATAGAAGAGACGTCTAATATAAAAATACTCATTCAAAGAATGAATATCATTTGATATGAATCTGTCATGGAGAATACAGACATTGAGTTTCTTAGGAACATTATCCGAAATCGAAACACATTATTTTCCATCAACCAAACAAAAAATACGTTCTTGGTCTAGTTGAGCTAATAATACACGATTACACGATTACATTGAACAATATAATCCAATTAGTAGTGATGTTTAAAAATTAGTTTAAAATTAACAAGACATTGTGTAATCATCGTATACAATGCTTTTCAATAAAAAGTAAATGACATTGTGAAAATAATGTCCTTTTTTAATCAAATTATTTCTTAATAAATATATTTGAAAATTTAAGTATAAGTGTTGTTGTGTGGTAAGATGTTGAAATTAACAGTTACCAATGAACGACAAATTCAATAAAAGTTGAATGCAGAAAAAATTTTGAACATTTTGTTAGCTTTATAAACATTGCGAGGAAGACATATATATGAAAAGGATTACATGTGCGAAATATATACGAGAACGTAATCAGAAATTTTGTACAAATTGCAATAGGTCAAATGGAATCGCCGACCAATACCTATACGAGATTTTATGTATGGAACTCTTTGAGTGGCGATGGTTTTCTAACATCCATTGAGCCAAGGTGACAGCCGTAAATATTACTGTTATGTTTCGTGACGTATTATTGCAAAGTTTTTGAAAAATTTTCATTTTACAACATGCAATTTTTACAGTGAACAGTTATTCTACATTAAAAACAACCTTTCTTCTCTTTGGAGTATTTTTCTACAGTGCATAAATTCCGAAATAATCAAAGGTGAGAAAAAAGGGAATTGTTTTACAAAAAACGTATATTCCACTCACTTTAAAGATAACAGAAATACACAACTTTTAAACTTTCGATTTTTAAAATCTATTGAGCCGTTCAAAAGTTATAACCGATTTAATTAAAAAAGAATTTTTTAAAAAGTAATTGTTTTTTAATTTTGTAATGCGGTACATTACAAGGCCTTTCCTGAACGCTGCATTATTTGCAACACCTCAGAAAGGCCATCCCCATCCCTTATCGCCCCGTAACCGGTTGAATAAAATAAAAACAAACGCACCCTATATAAAACAATTACCCCTTTCTATGTCCGAACAACCACACCGGAGATATTGGCAAAACAAACTCGACAAACGCGATCCGACGGACACTCAAAGAGAAGAGAGAAAAAAAAAAGGAGCGCACCACGGATAAAGAGAGCGCACGCACACACTCACTCCCGACCACGTGGCCGACCGGCAAAAGAAAACGGAAAAACTTGACTGGGAAATGCAACGGAAATGCATGTTGATGACACATGCAGATCCGTTACACTCCCAGACACCAACACCAACACTCACAAAGCACTGACACTCCTGGGGTGAGCAGAAAATCGTCGATGAAGTGGCAGCCGGCAATCAGCTGTGTCGGGCTGCCGAACACCATCGGCGATATCCTGAGCGCCACACACAAGCACAACAGCGACCACACAAACAGCCGGGAACACGTCACTCAACCGACACGGGAGCGCTCCAGGAGGCGCTCCAGCAACCGATACAGGAACACGAGGCGTACACGCGAGAGACTGAGCGGCCAATTTGAAACGCCGAGACAGACTGAGAGCGAGCGAGCGAGACAGAGCGAGCGAAGTAGACTAGACAAGAGCGAGCGAGACAGACTGAGACAGAGCGAGCGAGACAGAGCGAGCGGAATAGACTAAACAAGAGTGAGCGAGACAGATGATATGAAATGATAAATAGAATAATATGCAAATGCGAGGATGAGGACGCTACAATTGGAACGACGTATATTATATACGTATTCATGACGAATTAAAATTAAAATTAAAATTATAATTGAAAAAGAATGAACATGGAATAGATACTGAATTGTAAAATTCGCATGCGACCGACACCCCTATTATGATAGCGAGCGACAACTACCCCGATAGGTTTAAGCAATAAATTAACCGACAAAATTCGAACCTCTGACGAAATTCGCTAGTGACGTCACGACCAATCAGCGAATTAGAATAAAATTTGATTTCCTTCCTGATAGAAAAATAGATAAGAGTAGGGGTATATCTTTTCCGACAATTAATGATAGCTACCTTAGTGGGGAGTGAGAGAGGGTAAATACCGTCGAAAGTAGGAGCGTTAAGGAGGGCGCTGTATCCTTCTAATTTACATACGGACCAATGATAAAATATTCGGAGGGCGCTACCGATATCCGAATTAGCATATCGACCAATAATAACATTTCTTCTCGGAAAGAGGAGAAGAAAAGCGATCATTGACCGCGAAAAGCCGATTCTCGTCCATTTTACCACCGGTCTTCTAGCTAGAAGGAGTGATTGAGCCAGATAATTTCGTCATACAGGACTAATTACGCAGACATTCTGTAATCTAAGCGCAGCAATCTGAAATTAGCTAATTTTGTTCACCGAAACAGTAAGGAAGAATCGTAAGTAGGCAAAATGCCACTTACTTATATTAATCGCGGAGTACGGGAATAAAATTTTCAGTGCCGTAGGTCGTCGCGACGCGTGGATCCGTCGATACCGGTGCCTATCGAATCGCGCTGACTTTCCGCCATTTCGTAGATCGAACGTGAGTGCTAGGTTTATACGAATTAGAGGCAGTGTTCGAGTTATTCGCGCTGACCTTTCGCTAACAATCTATTACGAACACAGAATTAGCCGAATACACTTACCGTGCTTATTAATCGCGCTGACCTTTCCGTCATTTCCTAGATCTAAAGTGAGTGTTAGGTTTATACGAATTAGAGGCAGTGGTCGAGTTATTCGCGCTGACATTTCGCTAACAATCTATTGCGAACACAGAATTAGCCGAATACACTTACCGTGTTTATTTAATTGTGCTGACCTTCCCGCCATTTCGCAAACCGAATGTGAGCGTTAAGATCAAACAAAGAAATTCGTGATTTAGGATATTCGCGCTGACCTTTCGCTAACAATTTATTGCGAACGCAGAATTAGCCGAATAAACTTACAGCGCTGACCTTCTCGCCATTTCGCAAACCGAACGTGAGCGTTAAGATCAGACAAAGAAAATTCGTGATTTAGTTATTTGTGCTGACCATTCCACCATCTTTGTTAATCGAAGACCGACCGGAAAATTATTAATATCGATTAATTTGTACCCTTGCTATTTTATAATTATTCAGAGTTGTATTGACCCTAATCACTCCGACTTCTTGCTTATAAATTAATAAATACGTCAATAAAGTGATTAATTGTTTTTTACATATAATTTACTTCTGTTACCCTGCCTCAATTGCATGCTGGTGATTTTCAGTCGCGGGCGGTTATAATTGGGTAACGCTGATTTGCTATATTTTCGGGTCCCACGATAGGTAACATACGCACAAATTCGAACGGACTTACGACCTGAATTAAGGAGCCATCATCTGAGCTGCCGGCTTACCATACTTGAGGAGGAAAAATTGGAATCGAGTAGTTGGACACCGAGGCCTGAACTGAGGAAATCGCGAGTACTCACCGCTTGCCTACCCTACGCAGTCGCCGTGAAGGCAAGCCGGGATACCCGCGACGAAACCCCATTTTGGCCCTACCCCCTACGATCGCCCTAATTAGCCGGCGGTCTGGCGCCCTAAATAATGGGGGGTAGTGAGTCAAACAGGCCTTGTGGCGGAAGAAACTCGTAGCTCGGTTAAAACCCCCGAAATTACCCGCCACAATTTAAATAACACCATTTTTAATTTAATAAAAAATACCGGCGAAATATAAAGGGTATTGCTGTAATCTTCCCAATGAACCTGAGTGCATTCTTCTACGACCATTTTAAACGGAACTACAAAACTTTAAATTTTAAATGATTTTTTTTTGGCCAGAAACAGATGCACGCTAGTACGTACATACTAATGGTTCATTTAAATAAATATATCTATTAAATAATATTTTATAATATTTTATAATATTTTATAATATTTTATATATATTTATTAAATGTATAACTTCAAGCAGATTTTTTAATTAAGAAATATTTTTTAACTATTATTATTTACTTACCTGATATAAATCTTATTTGCCAATCTAAATCATGAAATCCTTTCTGTACAATAAGCCAAAATGTATCTATTCCATGTGGTAGAGTCACACAATGCAGTAGCAATGGAACCGCTGTTTGAGCTAAATGAGAATGTTCAGCATTCAGTAAATCCCATAATCTGTGAAATTGGATTATCCATAATCAAAAAAGCTACAGTCCATATTTGTTAAATATTTTAATGTATTACAAAACAAAATTTAAGATTTCTATAATTATTTAATTAAAAATGAATACAACATTATTTAAGTGTGCTTCAATTAAACTTCAATAATTTTCAATATGTTATACATTGATGTGATTTTCCTTGATTTTGAGATATAATTATTGTCTTAAAAAACGTAGCAGTTGGTGCTCTCAAGCGTGCGGACGTTGTATGCGTGAAGGGAGATTTCGGAATGATCGCTCCCTTAGTTGAAATAACTGTTGAGTAGGTGATTCGCTGCATTTGGTAAGTACGATATGTGAATTTAAAATGTCTTTCGTCTGATTGCTGATATGTGTATTTGTTATTGTAAAGTGTATCCCAAAAGTCTTAAAACTCGAGGATGTCGCACAATGAATCCCCATTCTGCTTAATAATATGCTTAGACTCAGCCCAACTTATAGCAAGGCAACAATTTGAGCAGATTTAATTGCAGTTAGTCAAGGCATTTTGATTAAGAATGTTTTTATAATTTTCAATTGCTGTATTTGCACTTCGACAAGGAGTATCGCTAAAATTGGTCTTTTCGTTCTTACAGAACTAGAAAATGGCATTAGGAAGTAAGGAAAATGCAGCTAGAAGCGTTTTTAAAGGTTTTTGAGGTCGCTGATCACGAATTAGCGAGTTAAATTTTCCTATTTCCCGTAGAAATAATGATAAATCTTTCGAAAGTCTATTTTTATGCCGTTCTAGGGATTTTTGAGGTCGTTAAACACAAATACGTTTCCAAATTTTCCTATTTCCCGTGAAAAAACCCATAAATTTGGAAAATTCAGAGTGATTATCCGTCGATATGATATAAATATATTATTTTTTTTCCAATTGACTTTATTTTTATTGTGTACTTTATTAAATACTTGGTAATATGGAGTAATTAGTACCGATGAATGATCTGATGATAAATCTAAGCGCCATGGCACTTTAAAATTATTTCTGTCTATACATTCTATTATAGAAAAGTTAATCAAATCCGGAAGCTTCTTTATATCTGTATACCAGTATGTTGATTCTCCAGTGGACATTCTGCAGTGGGGGCTGTGAGTTCCTCCCCAGATTAGTCGGCACCTGTTCCTCTTCTTGCCTAGGCTCGGGCCGGACAGCAGTTGGCAGGCGTGGAATCCCTGGCGGAGGCGATATCTTCTCGCTCGTCTCCCACGTCAGTCGGCGGTGGTGGGGAAAGATTCCCAGAACTGGCTGGGCCCCGTCCGTCTCTCGGACCCACCGTCCAGCCCAGAACACCAGACGCGGCGATTCAGCCACCGACACCTGACCGGCAGACTCGTGAGGTTCCGGGGCGGGCATTACGGAGTCCTCTTCACCTCACCCCCCTGGTCACCTGCCGCCAGCGCCTCGGTAGAACGCGGAGGCGAAACACGCACCTCCCTGGAGCGACGGAGGCACGGCAGTCCACGGGCTCGTCCAATCTTTAGCCGACGCGGGTGCCTCCCCAAGACCATCGCCTCCGCGGACGCCTCGCCGTGGGAGTGGTACAAATTTATGCTTACATTCCCTGGTCTAGCATCCGCGGTATACCGGCGGCCGATCTTGGCTTCCATCCTGCACGTTGAGGGCCGCTCCCGTTCTTCTGCATCGGGCTCAGTCAGGGGTGAGGCCCAATTGCTCGCCGAGAAATCCGGGCCCCTACTTTTCCTCTTCTTCCACTTGCTGCTGCTTCGCTGCTCCTCCGCGGTCGTCCTTCGCTCGTCTTCGAGATACCCGGCAGGCGTGATGCCCGACGGCGGCCCCCGCTGGCGGAAGCTAAACCTGGGGTCCACCTGCTGTCGGTGCAAGGGCACCCACTCCATGGGTTTATGGACGTGCTCCCCCGGCCGCACCACCACCATCGCCCTTGCCGAGCTCGCTTCAATCCTCGGCTTCCCCGCCAACTGCAGCCGCCCGTTGATGAAACCCATTTTCTGGGGCCGATCCGCGGCTGCCACCGACGGTAGGCCGGGCGGCAGGTCCGCAGAGTCTCCGGGGCTCGACGGACGTGCGAATTCACGCACAGTCGTCTCGTCCCTCCAAGTTGCTGCGGCTGCGCTGGAGGACTTCTTAGCAGCGGCTCCTCTAACTTCATCTCTACCGCGTTACTATCGACAATCAGGCCGGCCGCCTCTCCTCCCTCGGTACCCAGTTTCTCCTTGGGAAATCCTGGACCCACGCTCAGGACGCGGTAGGCCAAGAGCACTGCGACCATGGCCACGGCTCGCCCCGGTACTCGCGTGCCCCGAGTTTCTTGGGTCCTGGGAGCCACCTCTCCGGGCGTGCGCCCTAAGTCGCACGGGTCCGGGAGCAGTCCTTCTACATCACCCTCCGTGGAACCGGCAAGCTGCTGTTCGGGCTGAGCCAAAGGTAACGAAGGCTCGGCCACGCCCGCCTCCGTGTTCTAGGGTTTCGGGGACGTCGTCCCGTCCTGTCTCGGGGAAGGCCCGCTCCCGACACCTATCTCGGCAGTCAGAGTAGCCAACTCCGTGAACTCTTTCTCCATCTGTAAATTTAAGCCTCATTAGTTATTTCGTCGTTCTTCGGTCAAAATATCAAAAAGAAAACAAGAAAGTAATAATCCAACCGGTCCACTTCATTACCCGACGGCGGTCGGCCGCCGTTCGTTGCCCACACCGCGCGGCGGAATGTAACGCTTCAAGTCCTTTACATGGACCGTCAGTATCCGATAATTGTTATCAGTCTCCAACTTGTATATTACGTTCGAGACTTTCTTTACTATCTTATACGGTCTTGTATATTCGAAGTCTAGCTTCGCGTACCTTCCCATCGCAGCACACGACAACGAGTAGTTCCTCCGCTAAACTAAATCACCTACGCTAAACACTACGTCCCTTCGCCTCTTGTCATACTCTCTCTTCTGCATTTCCTGCGCTTTCTCGATATGCCGTCCCACCAAGTCTCGCAAAGCATTGAGTCTTTCTAATCGATCCTGCCAAATCTCGCGTTTGATCCTCATCACGGGAGAACACCGCTCTACTTCCTTCCTTAAGCTTTTCACCGGCCGAGGATTCCGACCGAAATTCAAGAACGCCGGCGTAACCTTCATAGAAGAATGGGTCGCGGTGTTAATCGTGTGCCTGAATTCGTGTAGGTAGCGGTCCCAAGTTGGGTGATCGCTGTCCACGAACATAGTTATCATAGTCTTTAGCGTCTGGTTAACTCTCTCTACTGGATCACTCTGTTGATGGTAAGGGGGGCAGAATACATGCTCAACGCCGTATTCTCGGAGCGTATCCTGAAACGCCTTACTCTGACAAGCTTTCGCGTTATCGCTAACCAAGTACTCGGGCGTTTCCTATCGGAACAGGATCATCTCCTCAAACGCGTGCGAGAGCGATTTTCCGTCCGCAGAGCTCAACGGATTAAGCTCGACCCACTTTGTAAAGAGATCCTGGAAGACTACCATATACCGAAATCGGTTCTTGCTTCGCGACAACTCTATCACGTCCATCGCAACTACCACCCAAGGGCGCTCAATCACCCGTCTTCCCATCAAACCCTTTGGTACTTTCTGCTCGACCTTATATTTTTGGCAAACCTGACATTGGTTTACGAAAGTCTGCACGTCATATCGCACCCCTGGCCAATAATATTTCCTTATTACCCGATCGCACGTCTTCTCCTGTCCGAAATGTCCCGCCGAGGGCGCACAATGGGCATCCCGCAAGACCCTTTTCCGATACTCGAATGGAATGGCCATTCGCCAGCACTCTTCACGATTGGTAACCGGATCAAGCAGATGGTTGGTCATATAGCGATACAACAGACCGTCCTCTACCTTCCAATTTTTATATTTCTCCGGCCGCTCTTGGACTTCTTGGCGTCTCCGCTGGTACCAAGAGTCCTTGATTGTCGCAAATTCGCCGACTTCCGCCTCGTCCTCAAACTCGCGCGAGAGTGCATCCCGAACATGGTGCAAGGCACCCGTCCAATGCACTATCTCACAATCGAGCTGTTGAAAATCCAGCACCCTACGCTCGAGTCGGCCGGTCAGATCTCGCTTGCCTAGAAGTCTCGTCAACGCGCTATGATCCGTCACTACTACAAAGTGAAACCCCTCGATATACGACCTAAACTTCTTAACTGCGAACCGAACCGCCAAGAATTCAATTTCGCTTACCGTATATCGTTTCTCATGCACGTTTAACATACGACTTGCGTAGCAAATCGGGTGCTCCCCGTCCTCGAAAATCTGCACTAAACACGCTCCCACCGTGTATGACGAGCCGTCGCAATGCAGATAAAATGTCCGCTCAAAGTCCGGTCTTGCAAGCACAGGGAGCCTCAGTGAGCGCTCTTTTCAGTCGCTCAAAGGCCTCCTGTTGCTCTTCGCTACAAACCCACGGCTGATCTTTCCTCAATAATTTCGTGAGCGGTAACTTTATGTCGCTTTCGTTTTCGATAAACCTCGCGTACCAATCCACCATACCCAGGAATCTACGAAGCTGTTCCATCGATCGAGGCGCCGGGTAGTCCATAATCGGCTGAATTCGGTCCAGGTCTGGGCGCAGGTCCTCCCTATCCAGCCTATAGCCAAGATAGGTCACTTGCGTATAAAAGAAGTCCGACTTTTCAAGGTTGATCTCCAAGCCTACCTCAACTAAACGCACACGTGGTCCTCGAAATTCGCGCTCACTACCAATAAGTCGTCCATATACCAGAAGACGTTATGCGCAAACTCCGGTCCGAATAGAGCGTCCATGAAGCGCATGAATGTCGCGGGCGCGTTTACCAGGCTAAAGGGCATTCTTTCGAACTCCCACAGTCCCAACCCCGGAACCGCAAACGCCGTAAATTGTTTACTTTTCTCGTCCAAGGGGATCTGTCAAAACGCCGACCTAAGATCAACCTTTGACAAAAATACGGCGCCGCGCAATCGATCCAGAATTGAGTCGAGACTAGGCATCGGG